CTGGAGGATCTGGTTTAGGGTTTAGGGGTTCCAGCAGTGACAGGTCAATGGTTGGACTTGCTGATCTTAGAGGTCTCCTCCAACCTTGATGATTCTGATTCCATGAGTGGCCTTGAGACAGGCAGTTTTCTGCAGAAGGATGTAACACTTCCCTGCCTACCTCTCAGGCCTGCTAAAAGCTTAATGAATGTTTGTGCAGTAACTTGTAGATTACCTAATAAAAGGTGTTCTACATGTGTGCAGTGTTGTTGTGCCGCTGAGGTGTGTGGGTTAGCAGGAAGCGGAAGGTCATGTCATGATGTCATTTCTGACTCAAATCTCCATTGACGTCTTTCCAACCCTTCTCCTTCTTCCTGCCGTCTGGAGAGCTGGCATTCCTTCCTTTGTAGGACACCGTGTTTTCTGTGCTTCACAGCTCAGCTGAGACCTAATCTGGGACAAAGACCTTCACAATGAAGAGCTGATTGAGATTCAAGGCATAGGAAGAAGATCACAAATGGCAGAGCAATAGGCACAAGCACAGTTTCTTTCACAGTAGAGAACTTACTGTCCTGCTCATTGTTTCTTTGCACAGTCTGAGAAGAAGATGTCTTGTTTGTCCTCTGTTGGGTCTTCTGTGGTCTGGCACAGCTGAAAAGGTGGTAGTGCAGGAATCTCAGCTTTGGATGGTTGTGTTTCTGGAAGGTCGTTGGATTAGGGCTGAAATGGCAAGTGGAAGCAAAAGAGCTCAGCTGAGAAAGTCTTTTGAGAAGCTTTGGGCTCCCACAAGAAAGGATAATTATTTTTCCTCTTAGGCTTGAGGTCCTGGAGACCAGAGAGTTCCTCCTGAGAGTTGGAGGACAAGGTAAAATGCAGCTTGCTGGAGTAAGTGGTTGTATTTTCTGTGTGGCTGATGGATGGTTGTTTGCTGTGAAAGAGGGAAGAAAAAGGCTAAAACTTGAGACAGAGACTAGGACAAGGAGGACAGAGGACAAGGAGGATGTGTTTGGTGACCACCCAGGTAGCATGTGAAGCTCTGAAAGTCCATGCAGTGTCCACCCTTATATTCCGAGGGCCACAGGCTCTTCAGCTGTTGGTTGAAGTGCTGAAGTGTCTGATGTCAGTGGCCAGGGCTGCTGGTGCAAAGAGGTTACTGGGGAGGTTTGGTTTCTGGAGAAACAAAGCTGTTGTGTCGTAAGTCTGAGACCTAAAGCATGGGGAATGGGTCTGACTTTCTTTGGATAAAATCCTCGCTGCTGTTGCCCCTTTCCTTAGCTCTCACGTGCCATTTGCATGATCTGCAGTCTTGGCCAAAGGGTCCTTCCAGCTTTTTCCATGGAATGCTGCAAGTTTGTAAGCAAATGGAGTAAGCAACTGAGAAGCCCAACAGCACCACTCAGGAATGTGAAGTATTTCGAAGTGGCTCTTTCTAGAAGTGAAGCAGATTCCTTCTGTGTGGCTCACAGCTCCTGCTGCCTAGAGAAACTTCCTCCCTTTCCTTGAATCAGTGGTGGGAGGCCCCATGGGGGTGAGAGGTTCACCTCTCACCACTCCTTTTGCCCTCATTGTACTCCCATAGCTGTGCACCTCACCCCTGATTTATGGTGCTGCTTTGATGCAGACAGTCCTTAGCAGCAACCAGTAAAATACCATCTCCTACGTGCTTAGGGTAGTTGGAGAAGGTTCACACTGTCTTTGGAGTCACAGTATGACCCTGTACAGTGTCTCTCTAAACAGCCATAGGAGCAGCTGCATTTACTCTGTCCTTGTACCTTATCTCAGCTTTTATTCCCCATGTGGCCATCCCAGACTGACTGTTAAAGCACTGGTTCTGCTGGAACACTAAGCTATAAATTAGGGCTAACTTCATTTACTCCACTGGAGATGTTAATCCTCCAGGGAGAGTGGCTAGAGGTGGTGAATAGTACTTTTCCCAACATCCCAGGATAGTCCAGCTGTGTGCAATTTGGCCCTGAGGAGGAGGATAGCAAGGGATGTGTGAGTGCCAGCCCTCAGCTCCATCCAGACAGGTGGCAGTGGTTCACAGAGAGATCCTGGAAAGAGTAACCTTCACCCTGGAAATTTGCTTGACCTATGAGGTTTCCAGAATGTATTTTTGGAGTGAAATTCCCAGTTCATTGAGATGAATGTTTCTTCTGAGGTTTGCCCCAGCAAGTGTAACCTGTTGTGTGTTGTCGTTGTGCTCTTGGTTCCTCGTGGTGAGAGGGACCCTCAGTAACACACAAAGGATGCACTTTGGAGCCCCTGATAAGGAACCTTGCTGGGTTTGTCAGCTTGGGCCCTCTGCAAGGGCTGATGCTGCCAGGAGCAGGCTGGGGCTGGGAGGGAGAAATGGGGTCCATGAGGCTGGATGCTCCATGAAAGGTGACACTGCAGGTTGAAGAGAGGGGAAGGAAGGACCTCCTTCTGTCATGAGCTGTCTGAGGAGTGATGGATGGGGTTAGGAAATCTGGCACATGAGCAGGAGTGGGGCAGGGGGCTACTAGGTAAAGAGGAGGAGAAGGAAGTGGCTGTGAGCCTTGCCCAAGGGAAGTTGGGAACCACTGGTCCAGTGACCAGACTGCGGGACAGGAAACCAGTTTCCTTTATCTGCAGCTAATGGGCTGTGTGACGTGGACAAACTGGCCTAATTCTCTTTGCCTCAGTGATCCAGTCTGCAGCCATGTGACCTCACCACTTGCCTTCCTATGTCACAGCTGCCATAGGCTCCCTGTGCACCATTTATCCTTTGATTTCTACCAGCAACCTCTCCACGCTCCCTGACCACTGAAAGGCTCATGTGCTGGAGACTGTGCCTGGCCACACAATTCCTGACAGCTTCAGAGGTAGAAATCAGCTAATACAAACACTGATCTTGCTAGAGCTTTCCCCCAAAGAGCTGGGCTGTTCAGCTGAGCTGCT